ATAAATATTAATAATATTGATGCAAAAACAAAAAAAAATAGAAAGCAGTTAGAAAAAATTAATTTGACTTCTAAGAAGTGGTTATTTATTGAAGAGATTATACCAGTTCTAGGACCATTCGCTAAAACTATTAAAAGACTTGAGAGAAGCCAATATTTAGCTATAAGCTATGTATATCTCTGTAATACAAAAAATTAAAGCAAGATTAAATGTTTTTTTTAATCCTATTAATAAAGATAATAACAATCAAGATGAATTGAAAAATAAACTGCAAATTAAAGATGATGCAGAAGATAAACCAAAAGTAAAACAAAAGATTAAAATCAATAGGCTAGTTAATATGTTTAGATTAATTGATATGATTGAAGATAAACTTTATCAAGCAGTAAATGATTATTATAAAGATTTGAAACTTGACGATCTTGTTGCTTCACTCTTGGATTCACATTGAAAAATTTATCATTTACTATTGAATCAAAAAGAAGAGAAGCAATTAATAAATTGCATAATATATATAATGAAAAAATTTTCCAAGAATCACATATTTGAAAGATGACAAAATAAACTCTTACAAAAAAAATTAAAAACAAAAATATATGGTAAAAGTTTGTTTGATTCTTGTAGTTATGACATTAATGAAATCAAAAGATATTTAGCATTGCAGGAAATTTCAAAAGATCAAAATGCACTCATTTGGTGAAGAGACAATAAAAATAATTTTTTTGTTCTGTCTCAACTAGCATGAAAATATCTTGCTATGCAGGCAATATCAGCTGCTAGCAAGAGATTTTTCAGCAATACAGAAAGTATTATAACAGCTAAAAGAACCAGTTTGAAACTGGAAATATTTGAAAATTTAATTTTTCTTAAAAAAAATAGTTTGGTAGTTGGTAGAATGTTTGAACACATTGATGAGTAACTAGTTGAAACATTTGAAATTTTTTTTTCTTTCTTATTCAAACATGAATTTTTTTTTTTTTTGAACATTCGAATTGTTAGAATAAAACATATAAAACATTCAGATTTTTTTTTTTTGTATTTGAGTAGAACACTTAGCTTAGAACATTTAAATTTTTTTGTATGCATGCTTTAAAAAAAAAGAAAAAAAGAAAAAATATATATATATGAAATAAAAGCTTATATATATTACAAATAAAATATGTGATATTCATGTAAATAGGCTAATTTTGATATATGTATATATATACATACCCCAAAAATTAGAATTACCAATTCAGATTAAGTTTGGTTATTTGATATATATCCTAACGATATAGTATTTGTTAATAATATACAAGCAGCTAATTTATTGTTCTGATTGGTAAATATTAAAAAAAGTAATTGGTTAAAGGCTGAAAGCTATAATTTTTTTAATATACACATCAACTAATATTAACAAATAATTGTTTTTGATCAATGATAGAGAAATTTTAATTCTGGATAATACAAGGTGCAGAGATATTTAGATTCTGGGTCTTACTAATAACCATAGTTCTTTTACAGTATTAGCTAAGTACACACTTTTTTTTCTCTTATTATTGCATAATTTTATTTTCTTACATGTACATACTATAAAGTATTAACTATATATACTATACTATTATATAGTATTATAAATATTGTATATATATTATTTCGAAATTTAGCATATATTAGCTTATATATTTGATATTATATAATTTTATACATGGATATTCATATAAATATTTGTCAAATATTCACAGATATTTGTTGAATATTTATACAGATTTTATATAGATATTTGTTGAATATTCATACAGATATTTGTTGAATATCCATACAAATATTTTTTAAATATTTATACAGATATTTGTTGAATATTTATATAGATATTTGTACAAATATTTATATAGAATATTTATACAGATATTCATTGAATATTCATAATTTAATTCATGAATATTCCTGAATCTTGTGTAATCAAATATTCATCTTTAATTAGATATACATTTTCATCCATGAATATTTATGGATCCAACCTCTACTGTATAGAAGTTTTTAGACATTAAGAAAACTCAGAACTTTTTAATACCAGAATGGCTAGTATAAGTGCATGCAGTAATAACCAGGGGCTACAACTGCTAAGAATCACCATAAATAGAAAATGATAATGCACCTGTTAAAAAATTCTAGGCCTCATGATGCTACCTAACTAGTGTTCCTATGAACCTGAACTGAACTGAACTTTGGTCAAGTTCAGGTTCAGGTTCAGTTCAATCAG